TTGGATCTTGTGAATTTAGTCAAGCATGCTCACCACTTCCCTGAGAGACCAAGGGGAAAGGGAGGCTGCTGAGTCGAGGAGGTCCCTTCCCGGGAAGGCAGAGCTGTGGGTACAGCATTGGACTCTGTTCTTATCGAAAGAGCTGCCCACGAGTGATAAAAACTGTGCCCGGGTTCACAAACCTTCTTCCACGATAGACTGACAGCCAAAGGAAGAGCACGTTGCCATCTCTCTGGTCATCTCCTGACCTCACACAGAACCACCTGCAGAGCTCACTGACAGCCATGATAGAGAGAGGGAATTCTGTTGGAGTAGATGGTCTGGCTAGCTGGTGCAACTGAAAACAGTTTAAACCATACAGCTCAGCACATTCATCATTCTTTCATTGGTGAGAGTGACACGGTGCCCTGGTGCCGCAGTCTTTCACAGCAAGGGTTCAGGAATCTGGAGAAGGGGCTGAGACATAAACGGATATACTAGACAAGAAATATAAATTTAGAAGGCATGGGGAACCAGGCGGATCACTTCCCTCTAGTGGAGAAGCTCTCTGAATCTCCGGACCCACGGCTTTTTATTTACTGGAATACACATTTGCCCTTTAGCAAAGCAAACAGACATTTCAATGGTAAGGTTTGGTAAACAATAAAAGGATTATCAGGTTAGGGGAACTGCCTTCAGCTGTTCAGCCAGCAGCAGGTAATAATATGCAGATTTTCAGCCCTGCTGAATATCAAAGTCCATCAGCCTTCTGATGGACTTCTCGAATTTATTATGCTAACTACTATTGGTCTTTGCCTCCAGCATCCTGGTTCTGGGGTGGGGCCTACTGGTTCCCAGGACATGCATCTGCTTACCTTGCGAAGTCAAGGGGGTTGAGAGGGAAAGGTTTGGACATGATTCAAGGACCTCTAATTCCTCCCTTCCCTTAAGGGCTGCTCCACACTCTGGCCTCTCTGGAGCTCTGCCAACTTGAGGAATTAAGAGGCAGAACATTGTGTTCTGCGGTGGTCTCTCCTACACATTGACTTAAGTGGTCCAGCAGCAAAGGGTTGAGTTCTGGATTGGGAATGCATTCAACACCTTCAGGTCACTCACAGTACCTGACATGTACCTATTATTGTTGGTATCATACTATATTGCAGAAGGATTATAAAGAAGTATAGATTAAGAACCTATTTTCTTCTACATCTGCAGTTTAGTTCATTGCCTGGTACCTAAGACACACATGGAATAAGTAAAGGAATGAATGAACTCAATAAGCATTTTATAAACAAACAACAAAACAAGAAGGCCAGGGCTTAAATTTATAAAATGTGTGAAGCACTACAAACATCTTTTTCATTTTTTTGTCCCAAGGCTCATACACCCAATAAGTTCTCAACTATGTGCTCAATAAATAGTTGTTGATTTACACTGAAGTTATAGAGCATGCAGATGAAAATACTGCAAAAATTAAAAAATTACAAAAATAAGACAACTAACTGAGTGTCCCCACAATTAAAGTATGCTCAAAATAGCAGAATACAGATGGAGGATTTTGAAGCTGGAAATTGGACTCCATGCCATCATTTCACAGAAGGAATTGACACCCAGATCATCTAAGACTCGTCCAAGAGCAAGTCAGAGAGGCCTGGATGGTTTGGCTCAGTGGATAGAGCATCAGTCCATGGACTGAAGGGTCTAGGGTTCGATTCTTGTCAAAGGCACATACCTCGGTTGCAGGCTCCATCCCTGACCCCAGCCAGGGCACATGTGGGAGGCAACCAATCGATGTGTCTCTCTCACATCGATGTTTTTCTCTTTCCCTCCCTTCCACTCTCTCTCTCTCTCAAAAAAAAAAAAAAAAAAAAAAAAAAAAAAAAAAAAAAGAATCAATGGGCAAGAGCAAGTCAGAGAGAGAACTCTGGTCAAAGGTCATAGAAACATAATTGTAGGGTTCAAATCAGTGGTTAAACTTGTTGCCTGGCACTAGAAATAAATGAATAATCCAGGGTACTTGTAACGCAAGGAAAATCCCTTCAAAAAAGGCCCAGATGTCCCAACTGCTCTCATATTCCTACTCAACCAGCTCCTCCCAGGACCAGGGCCCTTCAGCCGCTTCAACATGAATCTTTCTCATTTTAGGGCCAGGCATTTTTGTCTCCTGGGTAAACAGTCTTGTTAGACACCTCATTCATAATTTTTTTTTCAGTTTTGTTCTTTTTTTAAAAAAAAAACTTATTTTTTTTATCACCATTTATCCCTTCTCTGCCCTCTTCCAGCTCCACCACCCCAATCTTTTTATTGCGTGAGGTTTTATCAATAGCTCTGATCATTCTGAGTCCATCCCTTTGTCATTGGCAGCATGATTTGGTTTGGAAGCAACACTAAGTTTGCTTTGAACACTTGAAGGATCGCTTATATCCTGTCAGTCTTACCTGTCGTGGTCTAGGGCTATTACCATTTCCATACAGGTGGTCACTGTCCGCTTCTCCAGCAAGGCCTGTGCAGCTTCCTCACATCTCAGCTCCTTAGCGCGTGTTCTCTCCCCATTAACGCTGGTTATCTCCTATTCCAAACCTAAAAGCCCTCCTTGGACAACGTGGTTGTTAACATGCAGTTCCTACAGGGGGTGGGGAATGGCCCTGTGCCTCTCGGGCACCCCCTTTTTCCTGTCCCCGAGCTTCATGGAAATGCATGTGTGATGGCTCAGAGGCCAGGCAATGTCACCAGGAGAACAAGAACGGGTGGGGAGGGCTTGCTATAATGGGACAGCCAGCTTAAGGCTGACAAGGTTTGCCCTAAGGTACTTGTGTGCTGACACCTAAGGGTATAAAATGTCCTTGGTCCTACTTTCTACTTGCCATGGAGATAAACCCATGCTTATCCTGAGAAACAATCTCCTGTTTCTGTATAAGAAAATGCTCCACGGATAAAACAGACGTTTCAAAGATCAGTTTCCCTGACTACAGCTATCAAGCTGGTTTTTTTTGTGTGTTTGTTTCCAGTCTGGCTGACACTTCTCAGCTCAGGAAATAATAATATTCTCTCTCTCTTTTTCATAAAAAGTCCCTTGTAGTCACTGAACATTAGTGTCCACTTCATTTATGTTCGATTCACCTTTTCTTTGAAATTCCTTCTGCTCATTCTAATTATGTATCGGTCTCAGGGTACCAAACTTCTCATCTGAGCATCTCAGAAGTACTATCTCCGACAAAGCTTTAACCAATGCTACTGTTCATTAGGTGGAAAGTTCCCTCCTAACGACTCCGCAAGACCAGCGTTGAGAAGTTCACATTATGTTGCACAGCAGAAAATCATATTTCCAAGTGCTATACACAGCAGACTCTCTTCACTGTGCGAAAATAGAGTCCTGCTCTCGAAATGCAAATCAAAACGAATGAACAATAGAAGCAGGAACACAAAGGGACTTTCGGGTGACCTGTAATGTGAGTCGCTGCTTGGCCACTGACTTTGCAAGGAGAGTCACTGAGGCAAAAACTACCGGTGCATATAATTATCGAGGTTATGAAAGTGTTTAGCAAACACACCGTTAGATTTCTGCCCCTTTAAAAAATACCAGTTGGAAACAAGGTATTAAAATTCTTTAATGGTTTCCCAAACTTGTGGGTGGAATGTCATGTGTAAGGGGGCTTAAAGAAAACAAAAGTCCCTGATCTAATTAACTCCAAACTTAATTCAACACTGTCCCTTTACTTACCAGAGATGATCTTGAGGTTTAAAAAAAATTTAAATCTGTATACGTGTTATGGGAATGTGATTAATCATCTCTAAATCATGTAAATCCCAGCCAGATACATTGTCACAGTATCTCATCTTACTCAGAACCCTTTTATCACACCAATTTTGCTTGGTTTCCGATTTCACTGAGTTGGGATTAAATCAGTGCACTCTTACGGCACGATTAGGACTGCTTTAAAACTATGGAATTACAAACCTCAATGGAGGGCTGTGAATTGTACTCACTGTCATAGCTGCCATTAGCATGCTTTTCAATCCTTGCAGAACAGTGGGGTAAAAATGTCTTGTGAATAAGTTCCACTGTGATATGTCTGCTATTGATTATCAGCAGCAATTATAGACATCATGGGCTCCAAAACAAGATATAGAACCTGGAAAAATGCCAAGGTTTTGTGGATCTAAAGGAATTTTGAAAAAAAAAAAAAAAAGGTTATTTAAATCTGTGGATTAAAGAGCTAGTGTAAGGTTTAAAAGTTATTTACTTGCAGGCTGAATTTTTATAAATGGGTAAAGACCTAGTCTATTGAGGAAAAAGTATCTAAGTTTTATTACTTTCTACAGAGTGAAATTAAAATGCTTTATGAAGATGTTCTGAAGCCTAATTGGATGGCTTCTGTTCTGTGCATCCCTGTGCATCCCAGCCCCTCCCTTACCATTCTTCATTGGAGTCAAAAGATAGGCCCACTTAAGTTGATGTAAAGTATTTCTCATCCAAGCAGCTCACCCTGATAAGACTTTGGTCACACACTTTCCAGTTCTAAATACACACCAAACAAGCCTTTCACAGTTAAAAACAAAAAGTCTCACGTGGTTTCTCTTTTAACGTAAGGTGTTTGTAACCCCCATATAAACAAGTTCCTTTGGGATAAGTCTATGGGATAAACCCTACTATTCTGCTGGCACCACAGCTTGATTCACTAATTTCAGTCCCTTTAGCCATTTTCATCAAGTTTCTTTGTTAAGTCTTTTTAGACAACCAACATGGTTCACTATTTTATAAACTACAAATTTGAGAGAAACGCTATATACCTCACTATGTACCTATAACAAGTCCAGAAGCTCCAATCAAGTTCTTGTTTATAATTATCTTAAAGCATAAACAATTGGATCGTTATAATTTCCCTGCTGTGCATTTCTGATGTTTATAAATGAACTGAATAGTGGTGGGAAAAGATCCCAGTGGCCCTTAACAACTACAATAACTCTCTGTAATTTGCTGAAAGCGAGTGGTATTCATTTACTCTTTTTCTTAAAGTTCATGACAAAAGCAAACGGGTAGATTTTTGTTAAGAATCTTCAGGTTGGTTGATCTAAAGGCTTTGAAACTTGATAAATGCATACGTCAGACTAAAGAAATAAGCTTTTGAAACAAAGTCCTGGGAAAAGAAGCTGGCTTTGCACAAACTAAAAGTCCAGTCCTTCTGTTTGAGTATTTTCAGACAATCTTTAAAAGGTTCGCAAGGAGAGGGAAAAGAATGATTACTGGCATTGCCACGTAGGTATGAGGATGCGCTAAGTCAAAAGAGAACTTAGGAATGATGAATGAGGACCCCTCCCCCCTTCCTGGACTCTGGTTAATAAATAGGGATATCTGGCTAACTGGTTCCACTCTGGGCGTTGCTAGTTTCTTTCTAGAAACGTTCTCCCAAGAGTAGCTGTTACATTGTGTGGCAAATGATTAATTCTGTTACCCCGGATTTTGCATGCCTGCTTTTAAGTATGACGGGCTACAAGTCTTGCAGTGGAAAAAGTACAAAAGTCACCTTACGTCTTACAGTGCAACAGTTTTAATAGTACTAAAACAGGCAGGGCAGTTTCATAGGCCGAGGTTGAAAGCAACCTTGCCTTACTTAACATGCTTCTACGTAGAAGGTTTCCTGCTCTCCCCCATTCCTTCACGCAAGGTGTAGGTCTACACAAGTGCTTCTAAAGTGCATTTCTCAGGCATTGAAAACAGCACGGATGGCTCTCCAACAGCAAGCTCCTAATCAGAGCGCGCCTTCCCCACCGGAGGTCTGCACAATTCCAGGGGGGCCGCCATCTCTTAGAGCGGTGGTGCCCCTCTCGCTCCCACAGGTGATACAAGGGTGGAGGCCACAGAAGAGCTTTTTGAAGATAATAATTAGGCCGACTTCCTGGGTGGCGGGCATCTTCTCTTACCACAAATAAATATTTAATGTAGCCTTGAGTCTCGGACTACTGAAAACTCAATTGACACTTCCATTTCCAGGAACGTGAAATCGCGTGTGGATATTCTAATTTGGTGGGACTGAGACACCACGCTCAGAGGCAGGCCAGAATTCTCGGGGTTGGGGCTGGGGGTTGGGGAGCTGCGGTGGGAAGAGAGTCCGCCCGCTACGGCTGGTCCTCCTGGGGGTCCCCAGGGAAGTCCGCCTCCTCCAGGGCTCGGACCCCCTCCGGGAGCAGAGTGGCGCGGACTTTCCGCTTCTCCTTGAAGCGCCCAGAGCGCGAGATCTTCAAATTGCGGCGGCTGTTGCCGGCTTTGTCCGCGCACAACTTGTCTGGCTTGTGGGGCTCGCCGGCGCTCGCCAGGAGGTTGGGGTGCTGATTTTCCTGGGAGCTGTTAGTCCAGTCCGGGCTGGGCGGCGCGGGCTCCCCGGGGGCAGGCTGGGCGGGAGGCTGCACCCCCACCGAGGCCTCCTTGCTTTTCTTCCTGCTGTTCACCAGCGATTTCCACCAGGGGCCCGAGCTGCCCGTGCCGCCGCTGTCGGCCATGGCCGGCCCAGGGTGCGGGGCGCCGCGCTTGGGGAAGGCCTCGGCCGCAGCGGTGGTCTCCGGCGTCCACTCCGCTCCTTCTCCCGCTGCTCGCAGCCGGGCTGCGGGGTGGGATCAGAGGCAGCGGTCTGCGCTGGGGAAGAAAAAAAACTTAGTTACTGGGTTTGTCAAAGTCACGCCCCCGCGAGCCCCCCTGCCCCCCCATCTCATTTCCTCCCCTTTGCTCAGCGCGACACCGGGAGCAGCTAACCCCAGAGATGCACATCCCGCAGAAGTCCCCGCGGGGCTCCCCCCACCTCCCCCCGCAAGGGCGCGGGAAGATGACCTCCAGGGCGCCACCGTCTGGCCACGGGACTGAGTCTTGGCACTGCCCAGACTTAACCTTCGCCTGGCCTCCTGGGGCAGGAATAGCAGGGGTCGGAGAGGCCCCTCACATCTGGATTAACTGAGTCCGAGAGGGAAAACGGCTTGTCCTGTCGCTCGACCAGACTGTCCTGTCACATCCACCACCTGTAGGCGGATGGATGCCCGAGGTGACGTGAGCCGGTCCAGGAAGGCCTTCTCTTGAGTTTGAATGAGCAGCGGGAGGCCCTACGGGCAGGTAGCGATTGCGTTCCTGCTATAGGGGAACACTGCATATTAGACCCCCATCAAAGGCTTCTGCTTCATAGGCTTCTGTCCCAGGACACTTTTCTTTCTTTTCTGTTAATCCTCACCCAGGATGTTTCCCATGTTAGAGAGTGGGAGGGGGAGACGGAGAGAAACATGCTGTGAGGGACACACGATTGGTTGCCTCCACAGGCGCCCTAGGGACTGAACCTGCAACTGAGGTACGTGCACTTGATCGGAATCGAACCCGGGACCGGGACCCTTCAGTTCTCGGGCCAACGCTCTATCCACTGAGCCAAACCGGCCAGGCCCCCAAGATACTTTTTAATGTGATTCTTCAGGGTAATTTACAGGTGAGGGACACGCTCATGGTGCTGTCTTTTAAATTCTGCTTTTGACATATCTTCTGCCTTGTGACTTTCAGAGAAATATGACTAGACTTAACTTCTCTTGAAAACCACCAGCCTACTCTTTTTATTCCCCCTTGTGTCTCTTTGAAGCCACCCCTGATGATGGTTGAGATGAAGCCAAGTGGCAAACGTCCTCCCCTTAGTTCTGTATTAAAATATGCCCCGAGGCTGTTGGTGCTAGGCAACCCTTAGTTACAAATTAAGGCTTCGGCTCGTTCTTTTCCTTGCGCAATCGCCTTCTGCAAGGAGAGAGCCACCGGGATCTCCATACCGACTTGCGTCTTCCCGGCTTTAAGAAGTGCATCCTGCGGAGCGACAAGGGTGTGTTCAGCACTGAAGATGCCAATAATTCCAGAAGCCATAGAGTCCTCTGCCCGCGGTCTGTGGGGGTCTGCCCGGCACTAACTCCACGAATGCGCGGGGTTCGCTTGCGCCGCGGCGCATTGCCCGGTGTCCGCCGGACTCCTTCCCAGCCCCGCGCCCCGCGCCCCTCGCTGCTGGGATCAGCCCGAGCGCCCGAGAAAGAAACTAAAGCGCACTTTGTGGTTGGAGGCCGTCCTGCCAGAACCCGCGACAGCAAGTCTGAGCGCCCACGCGAGACGGCGCGGCGGCCTCTGCTGTGCGCAGGGACCGCCGCGCCGGCTCCTCCCCAGGACGCCCGAGGGCACACTCCTGCTGCGACTTGAAAACAATAGAAAAAAAATGGCCAAAAGTTCTTTCCGTACCCACACCCTCCGGCAGAGTTTGCAGTCGGGTGTGCAAACATCCTGCTCCCTCTACTTTACGGATCGGAAAAGTACCCCCCAAGTTTTTCCCCGGTGGTGATGGTGGTGGTGTGTCCCGAGGCAACGTTCTGACTTCTACCTACACTTTCTTCTCTGCAATGACGTGTGTGCACAGAAGAGTTTTGCACGCGTTGCCCACGGGAAAGATTGCACAAATGTACCCAGAGCGCCGACGGCTCGCAACTTCTCTTGGGGCGCCAGAGAAGCCCCCCAGGGAGACACCCAGGAACGGGCTCCGTCAGGGCGGACGCAGAACCAACCCGATGGCTCACCTGCTCAGGACCCCCGCGGCTCCGCCGGCGACAGTGTGAACGGGGTGCGCTTGGGTCCACCTGGAGGCGGTCCCGGGGGAGTCCGGCTTCTTTGGGGAGGTGTGCCCGCCGAAATCTCCGCAGCCGGGCTAAGCGGATTGGTGGTGGTGGTTTCCCCTGGCACCTCCGACTGCTGCGGGCGGCGGCGGCCCCGGGCTCGCTATGCGGAGGGACCCGCGGCCAGTGTGTGCCAGCTCGATGCCCAGGTGAGTGCCCAAGCCGCTCTCTAGCTCAGCAGCCGTGCATTCTCGGGAGCGTCCCTCTCCCGTGCCCGCACCGCTCGGGAACCGCCGGGAGATGGGACCTCGGCTGCTCACTCGGAAGCGCTGGCCCTTCCTACGCGCCGGTCTCTCGGACATCTGCCCACCTGCTGGTCATTCGCCAAGTGATTCAAGCCACCTGACCCCAGGGGCAGCGGGAAGGAAAAAAAACAACACAAAACAGCAAAGCGGGAGGCGGCCGCGGCCGCCACAGGTGCAGGTAGGCACTTTGCATGTCCGCCCTCCGGGCCCGAGATTGGACCAGGTCGCGGGCGTGGCGCGGCCTCGCGGGGCCTGATTGGAGAAAGGCTGTGTGCGCGCCGCGGGCGGCTCCGACTCCTTCTCCCAGAAGAAGCCGTGGAGGAGGCCGGACACCGGAGGGCGGGAGGCCGAGGCCGTCGGCAGGCGCCGGTGGACGAAAGTCCCGCACCTCTCCCTCCGCCTCGACCCGGATTTATTTCCCCCTTCCTCTCAGGGCCCCCAACCAAGGCTACTCAGCTCCGACCGCAATTTTGTTCACTCCCAGGCTTTGTTTCATTTCCAGGCACAAGGTTGCAGCCTAAGTCGCTTTTAGTTGAAAGGCTGTAATTTTAACAAATTCGCAGCGTGCCCGCCAGGCGCTGTTCCAAGCGCTTCTGTGGATTAGCTCGCTCATTACAGCAACCCTAGGAGGCAGGTACGGTTATTGTCCTCACGTGACAGGCAGGGGACCCTAGCCCGGAAAGGTTAAGGGTTGCCCAGAGTTGCAGGGCTGGTCGGAGGCAGAGCCCAGCATCGGATTTAAAGCTAGGAGGTCTGACTCCAGCTCCTGCGGTCCTAACCAGCACGTGATACCGCAGCCTGCCTGCTTTGGGCTCCTCGAAGGCTGAGGATGTGACTTCTCTCAGGTGTGGAAGCCCAGGGCGCAGCCACCTGTCCCGGGAGTGCAGGCCCAGCCTCCAGCCGCTGCAGAAGCTGGCCAGTGAATCATGTCAAGGTTCAGGGAGCTTTAGCCCTGATCACATGCCCCTTATTTTTATTCATTGGACAGAAAGGCATAGACATAAGGCAATTTCACCATTGAAGCCAGATGTGCAGTCTCCTTCATCTTCCAGGATGCTCTTCTCTTTCAAAGAACTATTTTGATGTTCCCTGAGCTGGCTCATGATTCCTCTGAAGGCTGAGTATGGAGCAGTGGTCCCCTGAGTATCTCTGTTCTGGGGACTTTCTGAAGTACATAAATAGTGAAAGACAGAACTAGCAGAAAGTAAGTTGGAGGGGCTATTCCAATGCCTGACATAAAAATAAAAATGCTTTATATCGTTAACGTCTTACTTTAGCATTCTTGGATTTTTAAAAGGTATGAGCAGCAGCGTGTATCTGAAAGTGATGCATTTTCATGTAGTACTGGGATTCGTTTTAGAGAGTAAATGTCCCATGCTAGCACCACGACTGAACAAAGACAGACAGGCCACCAGCGGTGAGGGAACGACAAAGGAGAGACAAGTCACCATGGTGCCACCTCATTGCAGCTAAAGACAGTGGGCCAAGGAGAGAGACCCTGGTCAGACGTATCGTCACCTCAGGAAGATGTGGAGCTGGGTTGCTGCATTGTTGATCCAACAGGTGAAAAAAGGAAGACATTTAGGAAAAAAAAACAAAAAACAAAACAAAAACCAGTACTGCCAACTGGCTGGCTCCTCAGGTAGTGTGGTTTAATAAAGGGGCCAGCGTTTTCTTAATAAATGATCATCTACCGACTGATAAAAAAAAATCATTCTCTCCCACCCCTCCCATTTATACTGAACAATTCTGATATTTCTGTTGTGTTTTGCTAACTTAGTAACGTCTTACAAACAATGCTTGCATGCAGTAAAATGTACATGGAGACATGAGCACCAAGAACAGATTAAGGGGGTAGTGAAGGGGTGGGCATTGCAGACAGAGGGCATGGCGTGTGCAGAAGCCTTGAGGTGGGAAGGCACTTAGGATTTTGGGGGAGCAGTGTCACCTGAAGCACTGCAGGATATGAAGTGGGAAAGGGGGTTAGTGTCAGACAAATACAGCTGTGTTCTGCTTCTGTTGATCCAGGAATCCTACTGTTTGGTTCTGTAAAGGGGACATGGGCTGGTCCCACATTTCCGTGTTGGTAAGCTGGGCATCTACAGTGTTGATGCCTTTAAAGTTGACTCATCTACCCAGTGAGTAGTGGGTGACATTACATGTTACAGAATTTCAGTATGCTGAGACTGAGCAGTCATTCCTTCTTAATAATATTTCATCTTGTCATTTTTCATTTTTCAAAAAAATGTATGGATGGTCTGAGTAAAGATGCTTTACTTATTTTTCTTTCTTTTTAAAAATTAAATTTCTCGGGTGAACCTTCAAGTGCGATAAATGACTATACTCAAAGACACTAGAGAATGAGTTTCTAGAGAGCAGGATTTGCATACTAGAAATGAAATCCAGAACTTCAGGGGTGAAGGTTGGCATCTGCAGTCCTCAAAAACCTCAAGGTGCACAGCCATGATTGATGTTTGGGGATAGTCCTTTCACTCTTTTTGCCCTATTTTCACATTTACTCCTTTCATTCCTACTCTCCCCTACCCATCCCTTCTTTTTTCCGTGTCTTTTACAGACTCTTCCATACTTTGAAAATTAGATATGTATCTCCCATGGCCTTTTCCTTTATAGTCACCAATGTACTAGTTTAATATTTCTTTTCTCCTTTCTGTACTAGTACGTTCACATTAGTGTTGTTGGACTTTATTTATAAACATTTTAAAAAATTTTTATTGATGTTTTTTATTTTTAGAGAGAGAGGAAGAGAGAGGGAGGGAGAGATAACATCAGTGATGACAGAGAAAATCATCAATTGGCTGCCTCCTGCACGCCCCATACTGGGGATGGAGCCTCATCCCCGGTCAGGGAACCTGACAGGGAATCTAACCTTGACCTCCTGGTTCATGGGTCAAAGCTCAACTACTGAGCCACACCGGCCAGGCAGTTTATTAACGTTTTCAATTTAGGCAACATTGGCTGATAACATACAAGTTTCAGCACCCAAGTCTGAAGTTGAAACCTACTTTTTGTAGCATCTCATCCTATACCGTATCAGGTTAACATGAACGCATATCTAGAAGTACAGCAATTATAGGCACAAAATATTACTGATCATTTTAGTTTTACACTTGAGTTAAGCAAGGCTGACTGTACAGTGCATTCTCTCTCTGAAATTCAGTCAACACCAGCTGACTCTTCCTAGCACCCCATTCCTACCCCCTTTGCGGCCTCTTGGATATTGTATGCTCCCCATTTTTCTTAAAAATTATTTGTAGGAAAATTTAAGGCCTAAGTCAAAGGCGATTTACTCTAGAAAGGATTTCAGAAGCTAGGGGCCCTGCCAGGCAAGACCACTGGCCACATATTCATGGCGGGAGGATTTTTGGGATGACGAAAACAAGAGACCCATGTGAGCACCTGCCATAGTCACGGCTCTGCCCCCAGATCTTTTCTGTTCCAAAGGAACCTGATTGTCTGTGCAGACCTGTGGGTGGGCCTGGGTATCGAGCCTCCAGGCTATGACCCTTTGGGACCTACACTGAAGAAGAGAAGTATCTCCTATTAACCACTCCACGGGGAGTGAGGCCTCAGCTGAGAATTCTGTCCCTTTTGCCCCAGGAGGCTATGCGCACTGAAGTTGTTTTGGTGCCCAATTGTTTTCAGCAGATTTCACCCAGATCATTAGCCTGCCACAGACGGGAACGGGTGGGGTTTAGATTGGAAATCATTTGCTTGGTATTTGTCCCTTAACTAGCCTATAATTTCCTTGTTATTTATTTGTTTATTGC